AAATTACTATAGACATTTTTTTCATAATTGTCTACTTGTATTGATCATTAAACATTAAACATAATTGTGAAACTTGAGAACTACCTACTCGAATATTTTTAAGTGATTTTAAAAATGCGCAATCGTTACTTTTATTGACTCAATATTTAATAATTATGCGAGTTATGAAAAAAATAAAACAATAATATCAATAAATACCAGTTATTGTTACACTTTATTATATTTGTTTTGATAAAATTAAAAGTTTTCAAAATTTTAGGTAATTCATCATGCTCTTCACAAAGCAAATATTTCGTGACAAGTATAGATTTATTTTATTTTTGTTAGCAGTACTAAATGTGTTTCGTTACTAATTTGCAAGTCTTATTTGAACGACACGCATAGGTGTAGTATGGTGTACCTAATTGTTAAATATAAATTAAAATACGAGAAAAGTTGTATTGTGTTACTCGTCTGTAAAAATGTAAGTTGGCTTTTTTAGGATCAAGTTCACAAATGAGAAAAATATTTATTTTTTTCGACCTTTTTCGGTCGTACTTTATTATCAGCCATTGAAATCAATTGGATTTTGGCAATTTTGTGAACGTGTAATATGTATGGAAAAATCGGTGGAAAAACATTGGGTTCAGAGTTCGGTGAAATAAAATATGCGTATCTCGCTAATTTATTGCCTAAACCTACCTACCTAGCTTAGACTGCCATTCGCACACGCCAAACACGACCTCACCGTGAACTTAAAAAAAAAACCGTCTGCCGAGACACGAATGACATTATTCAAATAGAAATGTTTATACATTAAACACGATAAACGTCACGTGCAAATACATTTATGAATAGTTATACCAACTACCGGGTTGGTGTTTAACGTATATTAGATATATGGTGGAAGTTCAGATATCACAAGACTGTTAAACCACACTGTTTTATAATATTATGTATGGTAATTATGAATTTTAATGCAGTGCGTTGTAATTTACATTGTTTCCTAATTTTGATTTTATATTATGTAATTGGCGGGTCGGTGAACTGTTATATTATTATATTATAGGTACCTACGTATATACTTTCAGCCCAAACATTATTTTTGTTAAAATGTAAATAAATTAGCAATTTCTTCAAGAAATAGTTATGTCAGCTACAATTGTTTAACAAAAAACGTACGTACCTACTCGGAATGCTGAGTACGAACTGAACTTATATTATTAACAGGCCAGACAGCGGTGCACACAATCATAGAAGTTATTTATTTATTATTTATTACGTACCTATAGCTATTATACGACACGATTATCAATGCTAGTATATGTATATCTCAACAAAAACACTTCACCATATATAAAAAACAGCTCTAAAAGTTGTGATAACATTTTATAGCTAAGTTTTTGAACTATGTTGATATAATTTATGTTAAAATAGTCTGCTAAATAATTGAACTTAGCTTGGTGACTTTAAATCACTTGATAAGTAATACGCACTACCTATTTCAGTGACAGCTGAAGACTAGGTATATATTAATATGTAATCATTATACTATAGTATTT